TCAGATCAAAATTCAAGAATAGGACTTTCCAGAAAATCTGGCGTTTCTCGAAAAAAAATTCAATAGCGTAGTCAAGTTTCAAGACGAATGCAAATAGAACTCATCGGACTGGTCCCTGATCTTGACTTAATCGACTCTAGTCATCTGAGAAATGTATAGGATACGCTAGTCACCGTATACACAAAATTGGAAAAGTATCTCGTATCTTAGGGATGACTATCTAATTTCAATTAGAAAATTTCATGAAGAGTGTTAAAGTATGGTTCGATCAGGCTCCAAATCCAGATCCTTCTAGAGTTTTTATTAGAACACTATGTAGTATTTACAGGCAAAAAATCAGTGAAATCGGAAGGGAATAACTGAAGAGGTTCCCTTGTCAACCGCTGTTACCAATGCTCAAGCAATTTAGTTGCGCTGTCGCCGTTGTCCAAAACAGTTGCTGAAGATTCCAGCCGTGACATAAAAACAAATATTTGATTTTTAAAAATTTCCGACGTTTCAAATCAGTTTTTAGAGGTGTTACCGTTTGGTTTCTTATCAATAAGTTCTCTACCATTGTTGTCTGTCTTTTTCATTTAAAAATTTAAGTCGCCGTTACCACCAATCAATGCACCGGCTTACATTTCTATGTATGTTCCAGAGCTTCAGTACACACCGGTTCTATTGTGCTCTAACTACACTGAGTCGGTGATTAGTAAATTGAAGCTACACATTCCTAATATTCAATAATAAGAATCTTACAAATCATTATCTTAATATAAACTACACATATCTTGATCGGAAATCTTATATAAACAGATGTTCATTGTGTTTGAATTCAACTTAGCTTTGTTTTTGAAAAACAATTTCATAGTTGATGTTGATTATCTAGAGCTCCATTTGATACAGCAATAATTGTTTTTATTGCTATGTGTTGTTTATTGGTAACAACTTGGTCAGAAAATTATGGTGATGCTAATGCACCTGTTTCTCAATCATTTTTATCAGCTTGGAAATCGATTAAATCTGGTATATGATAAAAAACAACAAATCAATATCTGTTTATTTATTTGTTTTTTTTTTCTTTTATAAAGATCGAAAAATATTTCTTTTGGGTATTGTACAAGCACTTTTTGAAGCATCAATGTATGTATTTATACTCGAGTGGACACCAGCATTAACTCAAGCATTAAATAAAAAATCTATTGACAAAACAGATAATAAAAATCCACCAATTCCACATGGTTAGAATAACAAAAAAGATATTTATAAAATTAAATAAAAACAAAATAAATTTTTTTAAAAATATGTTTAGGATATATTTTTGCAAGTTATATGGTAGCAATGATGATGGGTTCAAATTCATTTAAAGTTTTTTGTAATTATACAACACCAGAATCATTTATGAGGTTGAAGAAATTTTTCATTTATTTATATTTATATTTATTGAATTGATTTAATATTTAGATATATTATTATAGTCTCGGCTTTTTGTTTAAGTATACCAGTGTTTCTGCCTAAAGTAAATTAAAATGATATTTTAGTTTTTATTAAATTTAAAAAAAAAACGATTTATTTCATTTAATAGGATCAAGTATCAATGTTTATTGCATTTTTGGTCTTTGAATTTTGTGTTGGTATATTCTGGCCGTAAGTTTAATTAATCATGAAAGAATTTTTATTTTAATATTAAGTATTTAAGAGCAATGGCAACAATGAGAAGTAAATATATATCTGAAGAAGGTTTGTTTAAAGGAAAAAAACAAATTTTATTTTTCATTAATTGAAATTTATTATTTCAAATTTATCTAGCTCGTGCTACTGTTATGAATTATTTTCGCGTTCCATTAAATTTGATCGTTGTTGTAATACTTGTAAAAGTTAGTTATATTCCAAAATATTTTATTTTTTATTTTTATTTTATTTATTATAGGATTTTCAGTTAAAAATTATTTTTTCGAGTTGTGTATTTTTCTTAAGTCTAGCTACTGCATCTATGTTTTTATTACATAAGTGAGTTTCATTGAAAAGAAAAGATTTTTTAAAATAAATGTCTTTTTTTTGTCGTTGTTCTAGATTAACACTTAATAATACTCATTCATTATTACCTGTTAATAAACTATTAACTGAACAGGAAGAAAAAATGTTACATGCTATAAATTCATCAATTGATGAAGATACCGATAAAAATGAAAAAATGAGAAATTCAATTGCTTAAGATGGATTATGGCTCTTTTTTTTTGACTTTCTTTAATTAGAATCTCAAGTTATATGTATTGATTTCTTCTTTTTGTGATAAGATTTGTATTCTGATGATTATAGTACAAACAGGGGAAAAAAATGAGAAACATGTGATAATTACATAATTTATTTATTTTTTTTGTTTTGTTGTTTTGTTTTTATGCCGATATAACAATGCACGTATCTTTTTCTTGATTTATTATATTCAATATCAAAATGGTTTTGAAAAAAATATTAAGAAATATTTCATAGATATAAAAGTAAATCAAATAATTGTGGCTTAGGGTGATATGGTTGCTGTTTCTTCCTTATCGTATTTCTGATGTCAAATAATTTTTTATAAATACGCAGTACATTTGTCTATTCACAATCGAGGTATTTATCATATAAGATAATCAGTCAGTTATTGTACGTTTGTCTTTTAGCTGAAGAGGACGACGATGTTCTATATAGAGAAAAGTGAATAGTATATATACAACATACTAGAGAGAAAAGAAAAACGAATTAAATTGCTTTACCGTTTGTTTTCGTCAGTTTATATTACTGTGAACAGGAATGGTCAATTCTAAGAAGATTCAGGTATGTGTGATAAAAAAAATAACTTCTCAAAACAAATCGATAATAATCAATTCATTTAAAAGAAATGAATCTAAATTTAATATTTAACGTTTTTTTTGTCATTGTCTATCTCGTAATATAGTTTAAAAGAACGCTATAGCAACTGCAATACAAATTTTTGTAACTATAAGCGTTCTATACTTATCAATGATTCGTTCGAACATATTGATTATTATTAAATCGAAAGAAGATATAGTTAATAATGAATTAAAAAATTCACAAATAACAACAGTCGAACAAAATCAAAGAATATCCCGAACATTATCACAAACTGATATTCAATTCAAATTAAGTAAATTTTTTAAAATTGAAATCATACAAGTTTAAAAAAGATGTTTTTTTGAATGATAAAAATTACTTTTGAATAAAGTTATGAATTAATAATCTATGGCACGAAATATTCACTCATTCCTTCGGTCCTTGAAGACAACTGGGTAGAGCCACGAGGAGTTAGTCAGAATCATATTTTTTCGGTCTTTTCGAATATATGTTCAGAATTGCCTTCTAGAGTAATATTTTGCAATGTTCAGACACACGTTTGAACTTTTTTCATAAAATTTATTGATAGTTGTTCAATCTTATTTCAGAAGAAAGGTCTAAGCATACATTTGAAAATAGCGACGGATAGTGATTCTAACTGACTGCTGTTGACCTTAACTAGTTGTCTTTAGATGGCTGAGAAATGAATGAGAGTTGTATGTCTAGACTTTCGTGCTGTAGGTTAGATAAATTAATTGTAGAAAAGACTTATTTAAGGTTATATAAACATATCTTTTGAGACAAAAAAAAATTGAAGTCGAACGATGTTAATAAATTGCAAGTTTTATTTACACGAAAATTTTACAGCTTGCGAAGCTTTCTTATCTTTATCGCATATCGTAGAAATTATTAATATTGATTTATAAATTGTACCAATTATTTCAAAAAGCCTTTGGAATTAGTAACAAACTTCGTATATTTAAATATTACACAACATTGAATTGATCTGAAACTGCATTAGATTTTTTTTACTTGATATTGTAGTTTCCAATATATGTATTTCTTGGCGTCTGAACTTTATGTTTATCTTCTGCGATAGACAAACAACGAATTCCAAGATATTGAGATACATCAAGTCTACTGTTTCTTTCATTATCTTTCTTTCTTTCATTCGAAGACAAGAATTCAATTTCATCTTTTGTACACAAAGATCTATATTTCAATTAAATGATCTTATTAATCTCTCTCTTTAATCTAAACAACAAAGCATTCTTGTATAGGTTTTTTTCTTTTTAAAGCCAATAAAATTATTCTAATACTGATTTCCAAAACACAAAACTGTTGTTCAGCAACATTTCTTCGAAATCATTCTTTTCAAATTAGATTTATTCTAGCTAATATCATAGATTACATTCGACAATCTCTTCAAGCAATTATTGATAATAAAATAATAAAACGTTTGACATCTATTGAAAAAAATGACTATATGGAATTTATTAATATGTACTCAATAACAATATGAATTATTTTTATTACGTGGTACATTACTATGATTTATTGAATTTCTTGTACGTTATTTAATTTCATTTCCATTTCATTTTTGTCTACTTTTTCCATTGCCATGTTTTGAATGTTGGAGTTAATAATATTTTTAAAATATTCTCCAATACATAATACAAACTGACGTTTTTGGATTTTATATATATATATTGTTTTATATCGTATTTTATTGCGTATTTATTTCTGCAATAGTAACATATCATAATACAGAATATCATATTAAATATGCTTCGATATGTGTTCCTAATCTTACATCACCTATTGATGTTATTATATTACCAACTGATAATAGTTTTTCAATGATTGAACAAAACACAATGAATTTTTCTGATTTCTTACAAAAAGAAAAAAAAAACATCATAAACAGCAAGTGATATATGATTTGATTGTTCAGAAACTAACGATCATCATATAGTTGCTGGAAAAATCTAAATAATTTACCAATATTAATATTTTCTGAAGATGCTTGTATAAATAATATATCAGTAATAATATTTAAAAAAAGATTTTTTTGGAAATAAATGAAGTTCCTATTTATCCTATTACAATTAAATGATTATCGTTTTGGTGATGCTTATTGGAACTCATCAAAACATGATTTATTTCAATACATAATATTGATAATGATGTTATGGAAGATTGTAGTTGGTGTTTATTATCTACCATCGATGAAAATCGCAGAAACTGAATTATCAATTAATTTTGCACGTCGTGTTAAAACAACTATTGTTAAACAAGGTGATTTTGTTGATTTAGAATAGAATAGTGAACAAAGAAAATTTTATGAAATTCTTAACATAGAATAACAAATATTACAAAAAAAGTTGTTAGAGAAAAAACTGAATTGTTTTCTTTTTATCTTTTGTTTTCCAATTTTTTTCTTTGTACAAAGAGTTTGTTTGCTGAAAAGTTAAACATGTTCTTATTGATTTTTATTAATTATTGGATATATTTTTCTGATTTTCTGTTGTTATAGATTATTATTAACATCATACCATATGATCAATCACCAAAGCCACCTCGTTATTCATCAACTTGTATGTTAAACAATTTTTTTGTTCTTTCAATAAAATTATTACATTTTATAGATGAAGATGACACATATCAATATCGACATGTCATTTTGGATAAGAATATGTTAGCATTAATTCCAAAAACTCGTCTTATGGACGAATATGAATGACGTGCATGAAGAATTCAACAAGGACCTCATTGGGAACATTGTCTCATTCATAAGCCTGATAAAATCTTTTCATGCTAATATAATTCTTTTATTATATTTTGTAATAGAACCATTTGTACTTATGTTTCGTCGTTTATTAAAATATCGTGTTGAACTAAATCCAGCTATGCAACAATAAAATATTCATTTTTCAACAATACGTATACCAATTAGTGCAATAATGAATATATCAACAAATCATCCACTTGGTGATTTAACAAATACAATTATACATGATGGAAATATTAATAATGGATTTCAACTGACTGTTAGTCCTTATAAAACTACAAATGATAATATTAATGAAGATAATAGTGAATTACAAGAATCAGACTTTGCTAGTCATCATTATGATGTATAGATAACTGTTGTGCATTGAATTTTTTTTTTCTTTTAATTCGATTCGTTCATTGAATATCATAATCCGATCGAATATATTTTTTTCTTCATATATTAAAACAAAAAAACTAAAGAGAATTATTTAATTTATTTTAGAATAAGAAAAAAGATATATTCTCATTTGCCGTCGTTTACACGTTCTTTTGCTTCTTTTTATTTATTTTACTGTTAGCAATGGCTGCTAAAGACGCTGTACAAAAAGAAAAAGAATCTCACAAAGAACAGATTTATTATTCAGACACTTACAAAGATGTATGATTTTTTTTTAATTGATTTTTTTTTAAAACTTTTTCTTCTATTTAGGAAATGTACGAATATCGTCATGTTATTTTGCCCAAGGAAATTGCTAAGAAAGTGCCTAAAGGTCGATTATTAACAGAACATGAATGGCGACATCTTGGTGTTCAACAATCCCTTGGTTGGGTTCATTTTATGATTCATGAGCCAGGTTAATAACGAAAAAAAATATTGAATAAAATCAAGAAGAAATTTATTTGATATATATTTAGAACCTCATATTTTAATATTTCGCCGTTCACTCAAAGTTAGTCAACAAGTTCAACAGCAACGAGCTGCAGCAGCTGCTGCTGCCCATGCTCAACAACAGTTCAATGCTGTACATATGAAATAGGATTTTTTCTTTTCTTTTTCTTTTCGAAATAGATAATCTCTCGTTCTACCCGTGACATCACATATCACATTGTAGCATTGGGCATGTGTGTACATTTTACTCTTGTCTGTTCTCTTGAAATAATCCAACAATTACCTAAAAACTACACATAATTAATGAGTTCTTTCTATTTTCTATCTATTCATATCTATATTTATGTGCAGATCTACGTGTGTATTCCCTATGTGTGTGTGTGTGTGTGTGTGTATAGAGAACTGATGTGAATTATTTTCCTTTTTTCTTGTTGTGTTTATTGTTCTTAAAAATCTCGTCATATATCTTTTTTTTTGGGCGTCATCATAATGATATTAATGAACAAGTTATTAAAAAAATAAAGTGCGTAATGATGCTTCTATTAATAACGATCGTACGAAAGAAAAAAAACACAAAATGAAAGAGGCAAACCTATAATACAATTTTTACGTGCATAAATATAGAAATATTATTGTTAAAATTTCCGAAGAATATTTTTGGAGAAAACGTCGTTTTTTTTATGATTGACAGATCGATAAAAGTCAGACCTCTTATTCAATAAATATGACGTTCGTTCTTCAAGGTTATATCATGTGTTACAAGCATGATAAAATACTTATCGGCCGAAGTAAAGCGTGAATGACAATTAACCAAGCCATTTTTGCGAAGGTAAATAAAAACATTGCTTAGGTGAGCCTATAAATACGATGTGGAAAAATGATACATTATTCTATTCTCACGCAAATACAAAAACATAATGCAAACTATTACATATCTTCCCATTGCTGCTCTTACAATATTACTAATCGAAGGTGAGTAATTCTTTCCAAACGTTAATTTTAATATCATTTTATGTTAGGTATATTTGGGAACTCCGTTGGAAAGGTTTCGTGTCCACATGACAAACCACAAGCAAATTGCATTGTGAATCCTTGCTATGTGAGTTCTTCATGTCATAATATATTCTAATATATTTTATTAATGCTAGGTATCAAAATGTCCAGGAGATAAGAAAGCTAGATGCATTCCTAACTATTGCGGTGGATGCACTGCAGTGTGGTACGCACATAATGGTAAACAGGCAAAATGTCAAAAAAATCCTACATGTCCACCTGGTCAAACCCCAGTTAAATGTCTGAAAGATCCATGTCAAGTAAGTTACACTAACTAACTTATATCTTCTCTTTTTTTTACGAAAGCTTTTCAATAGGGAGCAAAATGTCCAGCATATCCTAATGCTAAATGTGTCTCAAACTATTGCAGTGGATGCCATGCTATATGGTATAAAACTGATGGTACTCCAGTAAACTGCAATAAATCACCTTCATGTCCACCTGGTCAGACTGAAGTTAAATGTGTGAAAGATCCATGTCAAGTAAGTTAAAATTACTAACTTGTATGTTTTCTTTTTATCACAACAGTTTTTCAATAGGGAGCAAAATGTCCAGCATATCCTAACGCTAAATGTGTCTCAAACTATTGCGGTGGATGCCATGCTCTATGGTATAAATCTGATGGTACTCCAGTAAACTGTAATAAATCAGCCCCATGCCCACCGGGTCAGACTGAAGTTCAATGTTTCGTAGATCCATGTCAAGTAAGTTACAATAGCTAACTTATATGTTCTCTTTTTCTTTACAAAAGCTTTTCAATAGGTAGCAAAATGTCCAGCATATCCTAACGCTAAATGTGTCTCAAACTATTGCGGTGGATGCAATGCTCTATGGTATAAATCTGATGGTACTCTAGTAAATTGCAATAAATCATCTCCATGTCCACCGGGTCAGACTGAAGTTCAATGTTTCGTAGATCCATGTCAAGTAATTTACAATAACTAATTTATATGTTCTCTTTTTCTTTACAAAACCTTTTCAATAGGTAGCAAAATGTCCAGCATATCCTACCGCTAAATGTGTCTCAAACTATTGCGGTGGATGCAATGCTGTATGGTATAAATCTGATGGTACTCTAGTAAACTGTAATAAATCATCTCCATGTCCACCGGGTCAGAATGAAGTTCAATGTCTGAAAGATCCATGT